GCAAGACAGATACTGTATACAAATTCAGAATCACACCCAACCGACACTATCTTTTATAAGAAGCAACCATTTATTTTAAAACTAGTTCTATAACTTATATTTGGAAAAAAATTCAAGAATAGTTTGAGCTCATGGAATATGCCGCCCCGCACAGTAGAGACCGTTTACGTAGCCGTGCTTGCCATGATTCAAATTGAGTCGGTACCATCTGCTGGAAAGAGCAGAACCTTCAGTGAGCCGTTTGCCAAGAACGAAGCAATCGGATGTGTAACTGTGTCCGGGGACGACTTCGCTAACTTGCATACAGCTACTTAATGCATAGTTATGAACTGGAGCCTATCGTTCGCAATCGACGATGTCAGTCTTACTATATTAAAAGATAAAGTAAGAGAGTGAATATATTATGAAACTAATGTACGTACCTTACAATGGACTAATAAGGTAGAGAACTCATGACTAAATCATTGTAAATATGATATGAGTTAATTCGTTTTAAGTTAGTAATTTTTATCAAAAATATTTCTCGTATACGTATATACCAACATATCACGTCACAGTATCGATATACACTCTAACTACGCAATAGTAGATACGGAATCAATGAGTAATGATTTCGGAAGTAGGAATAAGAAATGTATTTTAGAATAGTATTATTGAAACAGCTGCTACACATATGCCCAATGCTCTCATGCATTAATACAATTTATGTTGGAAATCAACGTAACAGAATTATATTTTCTGTAAAATATGATTGTATATCTCTCATATTCGTACTTCCGTAATCATTACTCATTGTTTGCTTATCTCATAATGCGTAGTTAGAACATGGGTCGATCTTGTCACATGATATACTGGTATATATACAAGAGATATTCGTGATAGCAATCACTAACTTTAAACGAACTAACTCCAATCAGCTTAGCAAATATACAGTGATTAAAGCATGCATTCGCTTCTTATTCCACTTGCTCTCTTTTTGTTCGCTATCGTAGCCCATTGTCAGGTACGTACATTAGTTTCATAATATATTCACCCTCTTACTTTATCTTTTAATGTAATAAGACTGATATCGTCGATTGCGAACGATGGGCTCGAGTTCATGAGTGTGCAGCAAGTAATTGTCGGCAAGTTAGCGAAGTCGTCCCCGGACACAGCTACCCATCCGATTGCTTCGTTTATGGTGAACGTCTTACTGATGGTCCTGCTGTTAGCAGCAGATGGTATCGACTCAATCTGGAGCATGGTCACCATGGCTATGTGAATGGTCTATACTGTACTGGTGGCAATCGTCGTTGCTAATGGTGTCACATATGACATAAACTCGAACTATTCTTGAATGTTTTTTTCAAATACATACATTGATAATCATGAATAATCTGAATTTTTATAATTCAACAATGCAAGGGAAGTGGGTAATTCGACGAATTTTCTATAGTACGCAGCACATATAATAAGAAGAGTTGGTGGTTTCAAATCGTACTCTTGATATATATCTAAACTACAAACCAATCTGCTAGTCTCTACTTTAGCTAGGGAACTGCAAAATGGTCCTGGTCACAGTCCCGCCGGGACCGGGACCAAGACGAAAATTCCTAGATAACTCCTCAATGTTTTTATCAAGTATGAGACCAAACATCTTCTTATTTTTTTTCTTTAATTAAAAATTAGCAAATGTGTTATTTTATAGTTCAAGAAAAACCGTATAGATTGAATTTACAATCGAAAAAGCGAGAATTTTCGTGAACTTTATATTTTTTTTTGCATAAAAAAAAAATTCATGAAATCTACCAATTAAATGGAAATGTCCACTAGGTTGGATAGTATTTTATTTACGTTTTTGATAGTTTTCAACATTTAATAATTATGAAATTTTGTTCTTTTTCAAGATCTTATTGAATAGTAAATGGAAGATCACGTACTTCAAGAACATTAGATAATTGAGCTAAATTCATTCCACTAGATATTAAATTTTTGGCAATCGTTGTATGTAAAGTGGACAGCTTTCATTTGCGATACGATTCAAGAGTATTTTATAAAATAGAAGCAGATGTAATACCCTAAAAATCAGAACGTTGTTGAGAAAAAAGATATGTATTTTGATAAGAATCAAACTTAATTTCTTCTGCTAATTAAAATTCAATTCTTTTAAAAAAACAAGAAGAATGAAATTGTATATTTTTCAAAAGTTTTATTATACAAAAAGGCCAACATCAAGACAAAACAAAAATAGTTATTTAATAATGTTTTTATAATCGGTAAATAGATAGATCTGTTTAGTAATATTCATAGTTAAAAAATTTCATTCAAAATGAATTTTACCACCAAACATATACTTTATTATCAATACATTCCACCATATAATCATCAATTAATTTATCATTTTTAATCACCATTTTCAAGGTTTCTTCCGTTTCGTCAGTCTCCTTCGAAATACACAAAGAAGATAAATGACGATTATTGTTATTAGTTTTTGACAAAATTAATTTTATTAAAGGTATTAAAAAAGATGCGCAATCATCATGTAACGCTAAATATTGTAATCGTGGACATAAGGCAAATAATAATTCAACTTTTTCCACTGAATGTTCATATTTCAAAGTCAGATTTTTAACAACATTGTTTTTAGATACCAACTGAAAAATTTCATTTTGCTGTATTGTTACAGGATTTATTTTATCAATTGATACATAATCAAGTCGTATTCTATGAATATTTACTGCAACACTTAATAATTTAACTAATTCCATAAAAGATATAGGTGCATGTTCAATAACTATTTCAGTAAGTTGTTCTGGAGAAATAATATGTGATAAAATAATATTCATCGACTTGCAAATTGAATTCGAATGACAGTCAA